AGTCAGACACTTTTAGCCGACAAATTGGAAGAACAAAGTAGGTCTGAAATGAACAGCTCAGATCAGGACGAGAAGGGATACGACCCCCATGACGCCACGCTGAGCTTTGTGGATAGACCTGATGACCTGGATCCTCCATGTAAGGACTAAAAACTATGCTGCTGTTTTACCCATATTTGTTATATTTATGTATTTGCTTCTGAATTAAGTTTTACTTGTACATTTTTCAGTATAATCTACACTATTACAGTGTCCAACTTACTGTCTGCTCTATTAGTCAGTGATGATGATGATGAAGACCAGGGTCTTAGAGCTGAGATGTCCTGTGGTCACGCTGTCACTCCACAATCTCTGACTGGCTGGTGTCGCAGCCTGCTGGATCAGGTATGTAATGACATCACACATGTTTTATATGCAACATTTTCTTACTTTGGTCATTTCTTGTCACTGTTGTACCTTTTAACGTGCTTTGTACATAAGAGGAGACAATTTCCAAAATCAAATTTAGTCTAGCTTGTTTCTAACTCAGTCCAAACAGTGGGATTCATTAATAATATGGTTGTTATTAATGAATAGGAAATAAAACGATAATTATGGAGTGAACTTCATTTCATTTGGTGTTGGCTTGTTTTCTGTCTGTCCATTTAGGGTGGATCCTTCTTGCAACCGTGATGCATTTAGGTGAACAGTGCTCACGTATGTTTGAGTTTAATGTCATGGAGACAGAGTTGCCAGCCTTTCTTGAAGGCATCATGTTTTTCATTTTGTAGTACATTTTCATTTCTTTGTTGTTCTTCCTTTAAAAAAACACCAGGTGTCAATGGCTGCCAATTTTTTCAGTGGTTGACCAAGACATTGCAGTCCTCAGTAGACTGGAGACTTTTTGACCTGCTTCCCTAAAACCAGAAATTAGTTCAGTATTTTTTTAAAAATACATATGTTGTGTTTAAAATGAGACAATGACATAAACCCCCATTCAGGGTTTAACCCATTTGTTCAAACACCAAACCAGTTGTTCTGCATCTTTATGGTTACATGTTGCTTTTATCTGACCATCTTAGGGTCAGTACAAGTTCAAGTGTCCTGCTTTTGACGAAGACACCCAGGAGATTTGCGGCGCTGTGTGGCCGTATCGAGAGGTGCGTCGCCTGGCGGACCTGAGCGTTGAAGAGATGGAATACTTTGAGGAGACCATCGCTCGTCTGGCTGCTGCAGAGTACCAGGAGTTTAGAGAAGTAAGTGTCTCTAACTTCAGGTCAGTCTTCACTTTAGCTGTTCTACTTAAAACATCATGTCTTCCTCTTACAGTGCCCTGGGTGTAAGAGCTACGTTGAAAGAAATGACCTGACTAACCTCTGCGTTCAGTGCTTAGTTTGCGTTGCAGACCAGAAGAAACAGGTCCAGTTCTGCTGGCAGTGCTTGAAGCCGTGGAAAGGTCCGGCTCCACGCTCCGATCGCTGTGACAATAACGACTGCAAAAACCACGACCTGGAGCTGCTCAGGACCTGCAAGACCACATCCTTCCCTGAGGTCCGGGATGTCAAGGATTGTCCCTCCATCAGGGCCTGTCCCACCTGTGGACAGACAGTGGAGCACGACAAGACGGGCTGCAAGAACATCACATGTCCTCGCTGCCAGGTGGAGTTCTGCTTCGTGTGTCTGAAGCTGACTCCTGAGTGTCTGAAGACCAGCTCCTACTTCATCCCCTGCAGTGATGGTGTGGCTCCCAGACAGACAGCCATACCTGTGTGGCACAGGAAGTGAAACTGCAGAAACAGATGCTTCCTGTTGAGCTCTTCGTACTGAAACCTGGATGAAATAATCTCAAAAATGTTGCTGTTCCTTTTATTCATGTTCATCAACTGTGAAACTTATTTATTATATTTAGCAACATTTTTATTCTCATATTATATCCTACATTGGCAATCATTTCTTCTTTGGCCTCCTATTAACTAATAAAACATATTTTTTTGTTAAAAGTGTTTAACTCTGTTTCAAAGTTGGGGGTCCATCTGAAATGGAGATTCATTTTTTTAGCTTAATGTGGAATTTGCGTCTCTAAAATCATTGTGTTAAAATGTTTTAGAAAATTTGAATCTGTTTATTTGAAACTGAAAATTAAAGGATTTTTTGTTGTTTTAAAGTCAATAAATACATAGAAATGTAAAACAGAAAAATCTGGCAGATAAAACACCATCCTTCTTAGCTGCATACTTTATTTGTACTGATTAAGGAGGGAGTCCAAAAAGCTTTCTTTATAAATTCACTAAGTGAAAAATTAATTCCCCACCAGGAAGAAATTAACTTAGTAAAATATGCACATTTTATTTGTCCCCAATAAGCTAAACACTTTCCTCTAAGACAAAATGTGATGATCTGCATTCATCAAAGTGATTTAATAAACAAAAGTACAAAATTATTTACTTGGACTAAACCATTAATTATCATGTCTGATGACTTGGAGGCTCCTTCCAAAAGGTCGATCTTGTATCTTAATGCACATTGTAAATGTTGGAGCGTGAAAATGAAAGTTACATCACAAATCCTTTGGCTCTCTGAGAGGCTGGGCCTTGGTGAATCTGAAAAGTACCTGGAAGTTTTTTATTTTACTGCCAAGTGATCTTGACAAAGACATTAATAATGTATTATAAACTGGGGAATTAAGGGGAAACCCCATTTAGGAGGAAAGATGACATTAATTTTGTTTTAATTATTCCAGCTCTTATTTCCTGAAATGTTGACATGTTTATCATTTAGGTCCAAATCAATTTAATTACTTATGTGACCCTTCATATGACTCTCTGTACCTTGTCTATGTATTTAGTGTTTTATTTGGTATTGTGAAATGTGTGTTATTATGTGATAAGTAGGAAGATTGGCATTTGCATATTCAAAATAAATAATTAAAAAAAGGGACAAAGGCAAGCACAGTTCACGTCCATAACATGTAATATTTTTTTCTTTTTTTCTTTGTTTTTTTTTTTTTAGCATATGTCAACAATATATGGACCATCATCTAATATATCTAACAAGAATATATTAAGTTAGTCATATAGTGTCTAATTAACTTAATTACATTAAGTCTTAATATATTTTGTTAATCAAACCCTGGTCAGATCGGGGTTTTTTTAAGCCACGCCTTTAACACAAATGACAGCAAATAAGCTCCTCTGTCGTCATAAATAAACGCTCTCCCTGCCGCTCAGCCACTTCACTTTACAGCTTTAATCCCGGAGAGTAGAGATTAAAGTCATCAAAAGAAGAAGCCATGGTTTGCCAGGTCCTCATCTGTTTTGAACAGAACAGGAAACTACCGATTGACGTGTGTAAACAGGAAGAGGATCTGGCCATCACTCCTGTGGGGAAACTGAAGGAAAAAATACAGGAGCGACGCCCAGACGCAGGTAAATACACCTGCTGAGAAATGATCATTTCAAATTTATTGAGACATGGAGCAGATGAAATAATGAGATTTAGTTTAAAAAGCCGATTTTCAGTTTTAAAATCCACAATTATCACTTATGTGAGACATTCGATGCTATTTGTTCTAAACCGTTTTAAACAATTCAGGATATTAGGTGTGTGCAATTTGTCTGATGAGAAGACAGGCTGTACGAGTAACTTGAGCTGTGATTACGTCATATATGAACGCTTTAATTTATTTTAGGTTCTATAAGGCATTTTCTTGGGAAACAAAATCCACTCTTGTTTGTTTTGGACATCATCTTACTGTGTCTTTCGGTTTTTATTTACGCAAAGGTCCGTCTTTGAAATGAACGTGATTTATTTCATTTTAAATGTTCACTAATATATGTGCATGTGTTTCTTTGCAGAAAAGGCCAAAATGGGTCTGATCTACAAAACCCAAACCCTGGAAGAAACCCAGATGTTGGCTGAATACGGAATCAAGCACAAGTCTGAGATCCAGGCGGTGGTTCGCTGTGACGGAGGCCTGGAGCTGATCGTTTCTGCTCCGCTCTGATCCACTCAAACCGGACATCTGCCTCTACTGCATACATCTCCTTCTGTTTCTTGAAAAGATAATGCGTCATTATAATACATAAGTGAAGTATGGTCATGAAGATTATAATAATTATCAAAATCTTCCACCAGGTTGAAGTGTTTTGATGTTTCTCTGTTAAACCCGTTTAGAAAGCTGCTGTCTAAAACCACATCTGTTGTTCAATCTGAAAAAGACACGAGCAATTTAGAGACAAGAAGATCACAAGATAATATATATCTATTTGTGAAAAATGTAAAAAAAAAAAATATCTGTAAAATGGAAACAAAAATGAATACGCCCAGTCATTCTTATACATTATTGTTGTTTTTCACCCTAAAGCCCTAAACCCTAACATCTCATAAAGAGAAGTCTGATCTCCACATTCCCGCAGCAACCATTTGTCCCCTTATTTTTATTTATTCATAATCATCTGTCATTATTAAATTATTTCTTATTGTTCTTGGTTATGTGTGTATGTGCGTGTTTGTAAAGCTGTTTGAAATAAATTATTTAATCGTAATGATATTTGGTCGAAAATGTGAATAATTACTGAGGTTTGTTTTTCACACGTGTTTATTGTAGATAAAACTTTAATCAATTCAATGGAAAATGAAAAGTGATGAGACATGGAAACTGTAAATTAATTTGAATGCTTTTGCTCTTGCTTTTGTCTGCATATGCTTGATGCTCAAAAATAAATGAAGTACCAATTATTACGATCTTTGTCAGAATATTCATTCTTCTTCATAAACTGATTATTCATACCAGTTAGTTTTTATGAAGGTAAGGCACGATCAATAAAAGTTATTACCTAATATTTACCCTTTTTATGGTCGTGATTTTTCGCTGTTGTTCATTAAATGTCATTCATTCACTCATCCATCCATCCATCCATCCACCTGCTCTTCTTTCCATGTGGGCGTATCTTAAGCGATCAGCTGCAAAGCGAAAGTCACGTGACCCGTAAAGAATAACCGGGGCCGAAATCGAAAGAGTTTCCTTCTATTAGGCCAAATACAATATAAAGCTGATTGTTTTCTGCATCGCAGGAGAAGTAAAAAAAATCTTCCATGATGAACTCTAAAACGAAGCGCTACAACCTGAGCGACTCTACAATCCGACTTGTGGAAGAAGAGGATCAGTTTGACTGTGAGTGGCTCGTTTCGTTTCATCAGCGCTGTAGCTGTAACAGTTTTCACTGAATTTGTAATCTTGTTTACAGTATGCATCGTTTGTATTTAAATATGCTGGAGGATCTCATTGGATGTTTCTGCAGTTCTGTGTGAAGGTTTTGATTCCCCGAGAGCCCGGATGTCCTGCGGACATGTGGTGACCCCGATGTCTCTCACGAAGTGGTGCCAGCAACTGCTCAAACAGGTGGGATATGACGGTGACCTCACATTCAGCCCGAAAATAGAAAAAAAAGACAATTGTAAGATAGCTTTTGATACAGATGAAAAGTAATAAGGTGTTTCCTTGTGGTGTTTATTTTTTTAGATTATTTCCGCAACAGAATGATGCAGACAGCTATTTTTCAGATCTAGTTTTCTGGTCATTAAATGCTTTTTTAATCTAATTTTTTAACAAATATTAAAATCTTATTAAAGAAAATGTATCTATCCTCTCTTTCGTTTTTTTCAACATTTTGTTTCCTTTATTTGAGTTGTAGATACCCGACTTCCAATTTACAGAAACAGAGAAAAACCAAAAACAAAACCTGTGCAAATCTTTTAATTATAATACTCTGACTTAGGACTGTAGTTCTAATGAAATTCATAATTTTTGCTTTTATGAATGTAAAATGTGAAATATTTTTACTCTGATGTGTAAATCAGTCACAATCTGATTAGTTTATTTCTCTACAGCAGATTCACTGTTAAAAAATGAAAGCTAACTTTCCAAAAACAAGTTATCATTTGTGAAATTTAAAGCACCGTGTCATTTATTATCACAGTATTTTCTGTGTTGACATAAAACATTTTAACAGTGTGTTTTGATGGTGTAACATTGGCAGAATATTGACAACTGGTTAGAAGGAAGTGAAGAATCTGCTTATCACTTATTGTTGAACTTACAGTGTTTTTATCTTTAATCCTGATCATTTTTGTGATTGTTTAAATAAAGGGAAAATCCAGGTTTGTGTGCGGTCAGTCTGGCTGTAATGCTGAGTGGCCTTATCAGGAGGTTTGTAAAATGGCCCTGCTGACCCCTGAAGAAAGGAAGAACTTTGAGACGACCATGGCCCTGAATGCTGCCGTCGGAGATCCTAACACAAAGTTTGTAAGTATCTTATTAATGACGTAATTATAACTGCACACAGGCTTGAGTCTGACTCAAATCCTTCTGTTCCCTCTCTCTCCTCCCAAACACACATACAATGTCAATCACCTGACAGTGTCCAGGCTGCATGACTCCTGTGACCAGAGGGAGCAGCTCAAACCTCTATGTCTGCTGCCAAGTGTGTTCAGCAAAGACCGGACGCAGCTTTGGGTTCTGCTGGCAGTGTCTGAGGGAGTGGAAAGGTCAACAGCCTCGATCCGACCGCTGCGAAAACGACGACTGCCACAATTCTGCCCTGAAGACGCTGAGAGAGTGTCCAGAAGTTAAAATTAAAACTGTGAATGGAGTCAAAGGCTGTCCGTCAGTCCGTGCCTGTCCGACCTGTGGCTCACTGATCCAGCACACTGGGATAGGATGCAAAAACATTTCATGTCCAAGATGTAAGATGTCGTTTTGTTTTGGCTGCCTAAAGACAATTAGTGAATGCAGGACCACAGGAACCCACAATGTTTACGGAGTGTGCTCCATTGACATTGTTCCCAGACAGACGTCTATACCTGTGTGGCAGAGGAAATGATGTGAATTATGTAAACCACCACTGCTTTTTGATTACCTGCTTCTTCTTTGCTACTCATTTAAGATCCTTCAAATCCAACAACAATTATGACAATTCCAACAATATTTGTACTCTACTCATTATAAACTAGCTACCAGCTGAACGTACTAGCTACGTTCAGCAACGTCTGATTACCAGACGTTGCTGAACAAATAAAAATGCTGCTGTTGTTCTGGCTATATAAAGAGTGTGTCATGAAACTTGAAATTTTGCATTTGTTTATATCCACACAAAGTCAGTTTGAAAAATACATAGTGAAATAATTCAAGCTTTTGTTTTTTTTTTTTTTTTATAATTTTGAAGATTTAAAATAAAGTTTTGTTTTTTTTTACTTTTGAAATGTACATAAGAAAATGTGTTTTAATAAAGAAATATTATGGTCATGTAATGACATTCTACTAAAGGGACGACTTCTGAGTCGGCAGTCACTGACAGCCTCTGCAAAGATGTTCAGTCACAAAACATATTTGTAAAAGAGTCTGGTTGCTCACAGAGTATTCTAGTATTTAATGGAAAGTTTAGTGGACAGAAAAAGTGTGCGAGGGAAAGAAGCACAACCAACACACCTTCACATCTGTCTTACAAGGGCTAAAGAGAAAGACGGCCACAATGTTACTGAGTGATCTAACGTCCTCTTTTCACACGAAAGAGGATTTCATTTAGGAAACCAGGGTTCCACAGTAAAGAAGCAGACTAAAGAGGCCGAGTGTCTTGATGCCAAGTGGGAAGTTTCCACTGTGATCTGCCGGTGTTTGTTCCCTCGTTCAAATTCAGTGCAGTCCTCTACCAGGGAATTTTAGAGGACTCTCGGCTGATGAACTTTAAGGAAATGTTGATTATTTAATTTCCCAAAAGGACTTGGCACCTGCCCTCACTGTAACACCCACTGGCTTTAATTACAATCTCTCTGTTCTGGCCTAAACCTGGTAGAGAATTTATGGTAGTCATGAAACAACGTCACCAGATCCAACAACTTCAAAGAATGCCGCTATCAAAGCAACCTATCGGTCTGATAAATTGTAACAGTAACTGTGATCTCAAAAATAATTGTCTTTAGACACAAATTAATCCTACCTTATTTAATTACAAGTGATTATAGAGGCTTCTTTTCAAGGTAGACAGTGGCATTTTATTTTTTAGGTTTTATTGGCTCAAGTGACTTTTATTTAATAGTGCACTGACAGGAAAGTGGGTAATGAGAGAAGGCATGAGCCAAAGATCACCAGGCTGGGAATCAAACCTGTGACTGCCACGTCGAGGACTAAGGCCTCCATATGTGGGTTTTGTTTAACCCCTGCACCACCACAGCACACCCATTCCTATTATATTTTGAGAAGCTTGTTTAAAATCATTTATGCCAAACTAGACAAAAAAAGTCCCAGAAGCAGCCACATAACTGGATGGTGCTGCTCCATATTGAAATAATAGCACCAAACTGTTGCCTTAGATTTGTTAATCTCCAATTGTACCATCTTCAAAGGACCCGGTAACGGTGGAAACCATTGAAGTACAATACATTTTGTACTTTAAGATTCCCTGTGAGATTATTTTAGTTTTGTGAAAGATTGTTCAGATCTGTCAATGTTTGATTTTGGAGAACCTGTGCACAGCCTCAGCTTCCTGTTTGTAGCTAAATCTCTGTGTGGCCTTCTGCTCCTGTAGCCCACCTGGTTCAACATCTAACGCGCATTCAGACAGTTTCTGCAGGAATTTGCAAAGAGATGCTGTTGACTTTACTTTACTCAATCTAACTCCAGTCAGTGCATTCTCTTCTGACAATGTGTCATTTTATCCACACAACCTCTGTTTTCTTTTATTTGGACTATTCTCTCTAAACAGAGAGGAAAGTGTGCGTGACAACCTCAGTAGTTTCTGAAAAACTCATTCCAGTCAGTCTGGCTTTAAGAAGTCATGTCCAAGATCACTTAGATAAACTCTTCCTCATTGTGATGCTGACTTTGAGCTTCATCAGTTCACCTTCACTGCACCCAGATGACTAATGCATTGAGTTGCTGCAGCATTATTGATTGATTGATTGGCTCTTCTATAACAAGTTTATTTAGGGTTTTTCTACAGTCATAATCAATAAACTACAGTATGGTTCGAGATAACAACCTGAATTGGTCTGATGTAACACTCTGATTTTAAATGTCATGTTTTATTAGCTGTAAGAAAATTAAATAACAGTAATAATGACTTTCAAACAGACTTCTGTCATTACTTTATCTGATCTGTGGTAAAGTTCCTAAAATAAATTGAATTTTCTGTAGTATTCTAATTTATTGAATTGGTTTGTATGTTAAGACGTGATTGTTAAAATAAACTCTCACCATCTACAACAACTCTTTAAAGAACTTTGAAATAAAATGAGTAACGACAATGTCTAATTTCCTTTTGGGACTAATAAAATATTTTTGATTTGACCTGATTTAAGCTGATGTAAAAAAGTGGTAAATGAGTGGCCTGTGTTCCATATGTCAAATTTTAGACGTTAGCAACAAACTCTCCTAAGACTTGTACTAAACCTACCGGTTAGAATGGTATTTCTTTCAGTAGGAAGCTGATAGAAAATAAAAATCATGAGCCAAATATTTATTAGGTGCTTTCCAGATCGTCACTCAGTTTTTGTTTCATTTTCTTTGTTTGTTGGAAAACTGAAGTTTGCCATTTGGCATTCCTTTGTGTTATGAAAAAGCAACAGGAACTGGTTTTTTTTGTTGTTGTTTTTTGGTTACATATTTTCCTGTTGGCCTCAGTGTCAGATCTCTTTTAGTCATGATGGTATTTACCATCAATCTCTGTAATTCCTGTTATAAAGTGCATTTTAGTTTCAGCTTTTGCAGCTGCTTTTATTTAGATTCTAATTAAATTACATTTATTTGATACAATATTTTTATAGAAAAGGACAGCAAATGTTTATCCCAGTTTGGTGGATGTCAGTATTATTTTTACGGATTTGCACTTTGCAATTTGTTAAATAAAAAATGTGTCTGTTCACTAATTGTTCTGAAAAAGTGGCATCCCCCAAACTTGCAGCTGTCAGAGCTGATTTAATAGAATTGATACAGCATTGCTATCTGTGAGCATTCATGACTTGTTTATCAGCTGAATGAAATGTTGTAGTTGCAAAGTGAAAGAGAAAGCTGCTGTTTTCTGACTCCCTCTCTGCGGTCATGGGAGTGCCTCTTACTGTTTGTTCATTTCAATGGTGGCTCAGCGGCAGAAATCTTTTCTGCGACGGCAAAGTGAAGAAGAGCCGTATCAGTCATTGGTGATTCACTATGAAGGAAGGTAAGGTCACCATGCTGAGCTGATAATAATTATTTGTTTAAATGTCTTTTATTAATGTTGTTCCATAACAAATCGTCCCACAGACATGAAGTATTATGGGTTGAGAAACCAAGGAGCAACATGTTACCTGAACAGCATTCTGCAGGCTCTGTTCATGACCAGAGAGTTCAGAGAGGCTGTAAAAAGGTTAGTGAGTAAATCAAAAAGCATTTTTTGTGTTGGAAGAAATATTTGGAGGGTTTTTTTGTTTTTCTATATATATTCTGCATCTCTGACAATATCCTATAAACAGTTGCTCAAAACACCATAAAGACGACATCAATGTTCGGCTCAATACTTTGTTTGAAAGTTTAAAGGAAAAAACATCAGAAACCACAGAAGTTACAAAGACACTGAGAATTGAAAAAGGTACGTAATCAGATGCATTTATCTACTGTTAGCTTGTTTCTGAATAAAGGACGATGTTGTGAATGCTTTATCTTCAACATAAATCTTGACAAAATATAGAAGAAACATGGGTGAACATGAAATATGAAAAAATACATCATTTTATGTATCATTCTTTCTTCATTCTTCCAGTGTATGAACAGCAGGATGCTGGTCAGTACCTGGAGAAGATTTTATCTGATGTCAGTGATGAAGCGTCAAAGGTAAATTATTCATGAAATCACTTTGGGATCGGTAAGGAGAGGGCGCTACAGAGTGTGAATGAAAAATAAAAGCTGTTAGATTTTAAATCAAATTGTATTTTCAGGTATTCAAAGGAGAGCTGATTCACAGGACTGTTTGTGATCAATGTGGCTCACATACTGATGACGAAGTGCCATTTTTCTTTCTTTCTCTCCCACTGATGGATTCTAAAAATGGAAACTACAGTGTGGTAAGAAACAACCTGCAAAATGGAAACCATTTTATGTGTTAGACAAAACTCATAAAAGTAATCTGGAATAATCAATGATTTACTTATTACTTAGTAGAAACTGTGTTGGTAAACACAAAGTACCTGGTGAAGGTTTGTGCAAGTAACACAAAGTGTATTTCCAGGAGGACGGGATTCAGGAGTTTTTAAAGGATGTAGAGTTTTGTGGAGAAGACCAGATGTACTGTGATGAGTGTAAATACAAACGTGACACTACTGTTGTAAGTAAAGGGAAACTTGTTTTACAAAAGATTGCATTTATGTGCAGTAAACATTCTTGGTTCATTTATGGAAAACAGACAATTTGACAACATTATGAAATATTTTAACAATACATCAATCTGTACATATTTAAATACACATTATATAAGGACACACTGCCATCTTTTTCTTACCGACTAATCAGAATAAATATTAACTAAAGTATTTGCATTAGCTAAACACCCTAATAAGAGAGACTTTTTAGAGATTTCTATAATTTCATTCAAGTTCTGAAGTTTACATACGTTTTATTGGTAGCATTGTCTTTAAAACTTTATGACCTGAGTCAAATGTCTTGGCTCCATAAACTCTCACTACAGCAAAGCTAAAGTTTTGGTCCATTTTCCCTGACAGATGTTTTAACTGCTTCATGTTTGTTGACAGCCTAGTTCAGGAGTTTGTGATGAACTCTCCAAAACACTTTGTTGTTCTCAGTTCCTTCTCTAACTAAATTGGCAGTATAATTATGGTCGTTGTCCAGTTGGATGACCAATGTGTACCCATCCTTTAACTTCCTGGTTGATGTCTTTAGATGTTTCTTCAATATTTCCACTTCATGTTCTTTTCTTATTCCATCTATTTTGCACCACTTCCTCCTGCAACAAAACACTTTGCAATAGTGGAAAAAAAATCATAGTAAATCAATAA